TATGAGAATATGTACTGTAACATCATGTAACTCAGTAGTGTCCCAAATTTTCTGATCAAGATTATGGGGCCACAGAGGAAAGTGACCGAAGATGTAGAGTGTGCCTAAGAAGAGTCACCTGGAGAGAAAACATTCTCTCAGGCTTTCACAGAGAGCACATTGGCCAAGCAATGGCCATGATTCATCCACATGGCTGACACTGACAAAGGATCTACAATCTGAGGCACAGGATCTCAGGACAAATCCTGAGGGGATTTGACTGACCTTATCAGATCCAAAAGCTACAACTCTTGTTGCATAGGTCTTGCTTTATCTTGGTCTTAACCATTCAGCAGAAAAGTATGAAAACGAAGTATAAGAAGTAAAGCCATGGTGTTATGTTGAGTTGTAGGGGACTCAGGTCAACAATTTCTGACATTGCCAGTCAAGCAGAAGACCCAATACTATTATGGACTACTGGTTTATAGCTTTTATCATTAAAATTTTCATCTATTGTTTCTTTAAAAAACTGTGATAAGCTAGTAGAGGCTTGAGTTTTAAATGTCCATTAGCACAATAGAGAAAGCCTGTCCTTCATCAGTTTTTGGCAAAGTGGGGCACACTTCTCCTTTGTTAGTTTTTTTGGGGTTTTTTTGGTGGAACCAGGGATTGAACTCAGACCCTTGGGCCAGGGAAGCACTTATTCCACTGAGCCATTTCCCTGGCCCCCCACTTCTCCTTTGTGATGTAGGTTCTACATGGCCTTTTTTCCCAAGCAGTCCATGCTTGTCACAGCAGGTAAAAGTAAAACCCTCATCTGCTACAGTCTTGTAATGCATTGCTGAGTTCAGCAGCAGCCTTTTTATTAGCACTCACCAGCTTCACACTCATGTGCCTCATAACACCATGGCTGCTGGTTCTCAGCTTTCAAATTATCAAATCAGCTATGCCTGACCTGCAAGACTTCAGTGCTGTCATCACTCTGTGTCCCAGTTTTTTTAAAGCTCAGCACGCAACGCTTGCTTTTTCACAAACCATAGCTCCCCGTACACGTGGCCCACTACCTGCTTCTTGTTTACTCAAGCTAATAGCAGCTTTTTGACTTCCTTGGTTGGGAACCCTGGTGCTTTTTGATACTGAGAGTCGAACTGAAGACTTGGGGTGCCAGGCAGGCACTGTGCCACTCAGCTATATCCCTGGCCCACTCGAATACTGTTTTTGTACTGCCTTGATTCCTTTCACAACAACAACCTTTCTAGTGTTGCTTTTTTATTAATGATAGTGGGGACAGTTGTTCTAGACATGCTGCATGCCCTGCCCAGCAAGATCAGTGCTGTGAATTCTACTCTCACACTGGCTATTACTTGGTTTGTGCTCAGCGGTGCTCTGCAGTAATTCTCTCTTCTGCTCAATGCTATCACTGTTCATTTTCTTAGAACTCATGATGAAACAAAGAAGCACAAAATACATGAAGTGAGCCCAGAAGCTAAGCCCACAAGGGGATGTTCACAGGGCAAGAGCTAGCTTTTTTTGGCTGAAAAGGGTAACAAGTTACCAGGCCATGAGCACTGATGCGTTCAGCCTTGCACGTCACGTGCCACGCTATGAGTCTTAGCACAAAATTTATGTGTCAGAATGTATCAAGTACCAAATTTGATTAGTCCAAAATCAAGAAATTGCAATCCTTAGAAACAGTTGGTCTTTCCTCATCTTATTTTTAAGCTTCTTGTGCTCGTAGATGGGTCTTTCAGGAGGTGGCTGGATAAAGGTTGTGTGACACTGGATTAAGGGTGACAATTGCATTCACCCACTGACCAGGTTGGCATCTTAGTATGGGTAGTGGGAAGCCCCACCCTAGGTATGGGAGGCACCAGCCAATAGGCTTAGGGCCTGGATGCAGTATAAAGAAAAAGACGGAAGGCTGGCTCTGTGCTCCTGCCTGCCTTGCCGTAAAGTGTTTCCCCTCTGCTGTGCTCTATGCCTCACTACGGATCCAACCTCTGCACATGGTTAGCTAACACAAACCTTTCCTCCGTGTTTGTTTTTATTTTGTGACCAGCTGAGCCCACCCTGGGAGCAGGGCTGGTGTGGCATGTGGTGCCAGGGATTGAATTGCAGTCCCTGAATGCTTGCCTAAGCTTGCCTAAGCAGGTGCTTTAGATGGCTGAGCTATCTCGCCGGCCTCTCTTCCTTTAACTTGTGTCAGGTATTTTATTCCAGCAACAAGAAAAGTAACTAAGACAGTCTACATAACCAATCACCTTCCAAAGCCCTGCCTATGATTGCACGAGCCTGTAGGGGGATATCTATATATAAACCATCACATTCCACTCCTGACCCCCAAAAGACTCATGCGCATCCCTTAATACAAAATGCATTCAGTCCATCTATAAGAGTCACCAAAGTCCTAACAGTTTTAGCATCCCTGAAAACTCCCAAGTCCAAAGTCTCCTCTACAACTCAAGGCAACCCCTTAGCCTACTTATAAAAATCAGAAGAAAGCTGATGATGGCATACAGTGACAAAGGAGAAACCCTGCCATTCCAAAAGAAGAAATAAGGGTATATAAACTACTGGGACCAATGCAAGTTCAAACTCCAGCAGGGCAAACATTCAATCCTGTAGTTCTGCGTCCACCCACCACAGGTTGTGGCGAAATGTGAGCTCCAGGAGGGATAGCCAGCCCCACTCTCCAGCCTTGCTGGTGCTGTCCATCCTCACAGCCTCTCTGCATATCTTTGCTTGTCAAAGGGACTGCACCCAGGGCACTTGGTACAAAACCAAATTTCACAAAGGGCTTTGAAAAGCAGGTGCTGACATGTGACAGGTTTATACAACCTGTAGTCTGATGCTCAGCACATTTCTGAGCTGTCAGAGGCCCTAGGTGAGAAGGGAGTGTCTTCTAGTACATCAGCATTACTTGGAGCCTGGCTTTCCCACCAGACATCCTGGCCGGCTCAGGCAACGGTCAAGAGCAGGCCACCAGGCTGGCTGGAAGGCTCCTCATGGAAGTGATGGCGCAGGCGTGGCTTAAGCAGGCTAAGGCTGTTGTGCTCTGGGGGGCTTTTGTTTGGTTTCTTAATGCTTCGGTGGCAGCCTACAACTACTCAGCTCCTTGTCGTCTTCCTGGGTTCTTCCTTCTGGTGTTCTTGATTTCTCTTCCTGCCAGTTTGTCATATGATAATTCAAGGACTTAGGCCTTTTCTCACTTTTCATAGCATACATAATCACGAATTTCTAGTATTCTCTTACAGTAACTCATTTTCCTCCCCTTTCTTTAACTTTGCGCGCGCACACACACACACACACACACACCCCACACAAATGTGCACACAGTTGATTGCAGATGCTTTACTTAAATATTCTCTGATCTCAGACACAAGTTGGGAGGATGAATGACGTGTCTGCTGGAGCAAGTGACTGGTGGAATATCTGACCTACTCAGTTACCCAAACTCATAAGGGAATGAAGTTAGTACTGAAGGCAAAGGAAAGGTATAGGGCTAAATCAGGAAGGGGGCAAAGACACTACGAAAGCTGCAAAGGATGCTGCTGGGATAAGAGAAAGCCAGAAAGTGATCTATTGTGGATTATTCAAGCAAAACTGCACGACCCGGTTGCTTGTCCCAAATGCTTAATGAGCCCGACAGCACTCCAGAAGCGTCTCCTTTTCCATTCAGCCTTCTTGGAAAGAGTCCTCGACACGCCCAAGAGGCAGCGCTATTCATGGAGTCAGGCATCCTTGTTCTCTCTGAAGACTGTTGTTGTTGTGATGTGATGATGATGATGGTGATGACATTTAGATAAAAGAAATTATGTCCTTGTGAACTACGCTTAAGTCACAAAGTTCAAAGATAATTTAGGAACCTGTCACATGAGGTACACATAGTTTTTTAAAATGCCTCAGTGTAAATAAAGGTCATTTTAATAGGAAACATGAATTTCTCTCACCTTCAGCACCTTGAAGGATAAATGCAGCACCTCAAGTCTCTGTACTTGGGACATGGAACTTGTAAAAACCTGGCTTTTACTGGTTCAGAGAGGGTCAAGATCACATCGAAATCCAGATTTAAAATTTTACATGCTACTAGAATTTTTAGATGTCAACCTAGAATTAACTCTAGATGGCCACAATTTAGAGTCACAGATGACTGCAGGCCACAGTAAATATTTCCTGGGTGACCTTACAAATATGGGTAACAGGTGCTGGTGATGAGCTGTTTGACTTTCTCAGATAAGCAGTATAGAGAGGGGTAGGAAAATGGCGTAGGAAAAGAGAACTGAAAATTTAGTATTTACTAAGTGGCAAACACTTTCCTTTAATCTTTCCAATGACCACATAAAGCAAGTAATGTCTTTATGTGAGGTTAACTGACTTCTCCAAAAGTCATGCAGCAGTTCAGTGAGAGGTCTAATTTTCTTTCCACTGCTGCATGACTTGACCCAACCATATCCTGCCCTGTGGTTGGGCAGTGTGTGTCTGCATATGATTTTTTTTATTCTAAGATATTCAGAAATAAGAAATGGAGAGCCAGTTCAGCTCAGTTGGGAGAGCATTAGAGTGAAGAAACAAGAAATCACTTCCCCTCATGCGTTTCATATAATCTACTTAAACCTTTATATTCCAACTTGAACTGGGTTGGCCTCGGCCAACATTCCTGCAACAGCGAGGGCTGACAACTTTTCTGAGCAAAGGGGTGTAAAGAAAAAAAATGAAACGGCAAGACACTCAGAAACCAAGCCTTTTTACCCAAATCACAAGAGCAGATTCCCACTGGAGTGAGGGGCTCCAACCGGATGCACAGCAAACTCCCGTGGTATGTTTTTAAACACCAGATCTGAGCATTGGAAGGAGCATTACTGGAACCATGCCTACAGAGCCAAATCAACCCCAAAGTATTCCATATCTACCGATGAAATGTGAACTGGTTAAGAAGCAGCTCGGCATCTCTGCTCTGCAAGAACAAATCCCTGGATTTTTAGCCCTGTTCACCTCCGAGTCTGCTCCTTGACTAAGCTACATCATTCCAGGCTTAGTCTAGGGATAAGCCACCAAAGTCCCCTCCTTCTCTCTATTTCTTCAGGAGGATGGTAAGCTTCAGGCAGGGGCTCTTCGCTTCCTGCTATAGTCTTCACATATATGTGGGCTTCTTGTGTTCCTGCTGTGTTCTTCATATGTGTAGGTGACCTCCTAGGAGTCTTGAAAAAAACAAACAGATATTTTGAAAATACTCCCAGACACTTCTGCTGCTGTCCAAACTGAACTAATACAACCATGTTTACCATCCCACTTGAAACAACCAAGATCCAGGGGAAAAACTGAAACAACAGTTTTAAAGACACTGGACATGAGACAAAGAAGGACAGTGATATTTGAGTGAAAGAAAACAAAGTGAAGAGGGGTTTGCAGTTGCTGCTCTGGCTGCCTTTGGGATGTTTACAGGTCATGCAACACTTTTGCTAACTATCATAGAATCTCTTTCTCCCACCATTAATATTTAATCTACTTGAACCTTTATATTTAAAGTGGGGTTTTGTAGACATCATATATTTGGATCTAGCTTTCATAACCAATCAGAATATCTATGCCTTTCACTGGGGGTATTTAGATCATTTACATTTAGTGTGGTCACCAATATAGTTGACTTTAAATTTACTGGTATGGTTCAGATCCAAAGTGTCTCCCTAGAGGCTTATTGTATTAAAGACTTGGTTGCAATCCTGTGAGATTTGGAGAAGTGATTGGATCACGAGGACTCTAGCTTCGTTCTTCAACAAGTAGGTCAACCCACTGATGAGTTCATTAGCAGCATGAACTCTCAGGAGGTGAAGCCTCCTCAGAGGGAATAGGCCACTAGGGGCATGCTTGAAGGATATATCTTCTCCCCAACCGCACCCTCCCACGCTCGCTAATTCTGTTCTTCCCTCCTGCTGCTTCCCAGGTGGTACAAAGTAAAAGCATTTCCGCCCCACACCTTCTCCCTCCGTCTTCGCTCACTTCAGCTCCACAGCCATGAAACCAGTGTGCCATGACTTGGAACCTCTGAAACTATGAACCAAAATAAACCTTTCTTACTTTAAATTCTTATCTTTGGATATTTTGCCATAACAATGCTAAGCTGACTAATATCCTCTCTGCCCAGTTGTTTTTACTTGCTCTGCCTGTTCATTGTCTTTATAAAATCATTTTTGGCCTCATTCCATGTAGATTTTTAGAAGAAACTTACTAAATCTTATTTAAAAAATAGGATTTATATTGGAATTTTATTATGTAGATAATAAATGAGTCTCTAACTTGTAGTGTTTGACATCATTATACTATTAAGCCTTCTTGTCTAGGAGCATGATACACAATCTCCATTGCTTAGGAATTTATTTTTATTTAGTAAAGTTTTTTCCCATAAAAGGACATTTTGTTAGATTTATGTTTTGGAGTTTAATATATTTTTATTACTACTGAAAAGTGGTATTTTGTAATGTTAATGTTAAGAAGCATGCATTACTTTTTATACATTTTTTAATTTAGAAAACTTATTAAAATATCTTGTTAATTCTGATAATTTATCTGTAGAAATTTTGTCTTTTCTACATAATTGAGAATATCTTCTACAAATAATGTCAAATGTGTGTGTCTTCCTTTTTACATTTTCTTCTCTTTTTTTCTTATCCTACTTTATTAACAAGGATCTAAGGTACAATACTAAATAGAAATAAGAAATATCTTTGATTTATTTCTGATCTTAATGAGCATGATTTCAGTATTTCAGCTTCAGGGATGATTTTGTTGTAATTTTTTAAAAAAGACTGCCAACTTTCAAGTTAAGAAGTCGTTACTCTAAAAATGTTCTAGTTTGCTAAAAGTTCACATCACAATTGATTCTTCCTGGAACTCTCCTCACCCCTAGAGGTGGTCACAGCTTTCTTTTTTCTTTTTAATTTGTCTGTAAAATAAGTTATATCACACTGATTTTCTAGTATTAAGCAAACCTTGAACTCCTGTCTGGCCAGTGAGAAGCACCCCAGAACTCGCAATTCTTCTTGACTGCACCCCGTCCACCTGCACTCACATCTTCTGCTGCACAGGAGAGGCTTTAACCCCTGTGAATCATACATAGAGATTATAATTGAAAGTACTTACCTCAGACACCTTGGGATTGTCATAGATTTCTGTAATTTCACATGGTCTCTCAATTTCCTAAAAGTCAAATAAAAGGGGTAGGGGCGTTACAGCCTTAGACCAGAAGCGTGATAAAAAGTGGTTCTTAAGCCTGTATGCACTTTAGAATCACAGGAAAGCTTTAGAAACAAAGCATGGACACAAACAGATAACCACCCCTGCAAATGAAACACACTCAAGCAACATAGTTAGGAGTTGCTCAAAACTAGTCCAGAGTTGATCCTATAAAGAAGTAGATGGGAGTGGAGACAAACAAGACTGACATGAACTATCCCTTTCTTCTTAGTGTACATAAATTATAGTAATCCTCTTTATCCAAAGTTTTGCTTCCCCCAGCTTTAATTAAAGAGGGTCAACTGGGTCTGTCTTACTTAGTCTTCTCTTGTTGCTGGGACGAATACCCGACACTCAAAATGACAGAAGGAAAGGTTTATGTAGTTCACAGTTACTGGAGGTTTCATGACACTGGAGGTGATGCTGGGCCGCTGCCATGTCCAGGAGGACCTTCTCCACATCTCGCGGACTAGCCGGTTTAATGGTTCAGCCTCTCGGGCCCCGCCCCTCGGGCCCCGCCCTGGTCCTCAGGCCCCGCCCCTCGGGCCCCGCCCTGGTCCTCAGGCCCCGCCCCTCGGGCCCCGCCCTGGTCCTCTGGCCCCACCCTGCTCCTCGGGCCCCACCCTGGTCCTCGGGCCCCGCCCCGCCCCTCGGGCCCCACCCTGGTCCTCTGGCCCCGCCCTGCTCCTCGGGCCCCACCCTGGTCCTCGGGCCCCGCCCTGCTCCTCGGGCCCGGCCCTGGTCTTCGGGCCCCGCCCTGGTCCTCTGGCCCCGCCCTGCTCCTCGGGCCCCACCCCTCGGGCCCCGCCCTGGTCCTCTGGCCCCGCCCTGCTCCTCAGGCCCCGCCCCTCGGGCCCTGCCCTGGTCCTCAGGCCCTGCCACTCGGGCCCCGCCCCGCCCCTCTGGCCCCGCCCCTCGCCCCCCGCCCCGGTCCTCTGGCCCCGCCCCTCGGGCCCCGCCCTG